TCTTGTTTCTAAAAACCAAAATGAAGAAAGAGGAGGAGGAGGAGGAGGGGAGAAGGGTAAGCATAAAGAAGAGGGAGGGAGAGAAGAAGAAGAAGAGGAGGAGGAGGAGGAGGAGGAGAAGAAGAAGAAGAAGAAGCCACAGCAGCAGCACATTCACAAGAGCTCTCCGAGGCAGCATCTGATGAGCCTCCTGTCACTGGTGAGGGAGCTGAGGCTTGGGGACATGAACCGGTCCCAGGGGACCTCCTTGCTGTCCCCAACCCACCCTGGACCTGCACGAGCTAGCTGGGCTTGGTCTCAGCCATTCGTGGCCTTCCAAACCCCACGGAAGAAAGGGCAGCACACGCGGTTTTCACTCTGCCATGGCGTCACCCCTGGCACCTCTGCCTCACGTTCCCCCCCACCCCCGCATCCCTCTCCCAGTGGGTGACCCCACGGCCCACTGCGTGCATTTCCCTGCTTTCCTGGCTCCTCTCCAGCCACACTGGCCTCCAGACAGCTTCTGGAACACACAAGACACCCCTGGAATTCTGTGCTGGGCTCTTCCCTCTGTACCCACACCCCCACCCACTAAGATTCCCAGAGCTAGTGATACAGTGTGCATATGGGCAGTGTGCCCACAGGCACTGTGTGCAAGGCTTGTCTCCAGGGGGCGCTATGGCCCTTCCCGTGGTGGGGCCTCCCTGAGGGTCTTAGGTCAATGGAGACATTCCTCCAAAAGGCGAGCTCTAGGTTGGGGAAGGTGGCTCAGTGGTAGAGCGCTTGCCAACCTAGCATGAAGCCCTGGGTTTGATTCCTCAGTACCACATAAGCAGAAAAAGCTGGAAGTGGCACTATGGCTCAACTGGTAGAGCATTAGCCTTTAGCTGAAGAGCTGAGGGACAGCGCCCAGGCCCAAGTTCAGGTCCATGACTGACAAAAGAAAAAAAAATGGCCTGCTAGCTGTGTCTCTATCGGTCTCTTTCTCTCCTCTCTTCTCTTTTTCTTCTCTTCCGCTCTCCACTCCCCTCTCCTCCCTCTCTTTCCCTCTCTCTCTTCCCCCTTCTCCCTCCCCCTCTCCCATCCCCCCTTCAGTCCCCCTTCCTGATGTGCTGCCCTCATCAACCAATGGCCACATAACCTTGGACTTGAACTGGCAGAATTATGAGCCACAGTAGACCTCTTGTTTTACAAGTGTGCCGTGTCAGGCATTTTGCAACAGTGACTCATAGCTAACCAAATACAACACCCTCCCCACCTCCGGGAGAGCTTTGGCTCAAGTGGTAGAGCACCAACCTTGGGAGAAAAAAAAAAGCTAAGGGATAGTGGCTAGGCTCTATGTTCAAGCCCCAGTACTAGAAAAGGATTGGGCTGTGTGTAACTTAGACTCAAGCATCTACAGAGAGGTTTAAATTTGTCCTGTGCTTTCCATTTTTTAGAACTTCATAAACCAGCAAGATTCCATGCTTCCCATTCTCTAAGACTCACAAAATTGCAGGAAGTAGTTTTCTATATTAACTGCGGATTCATGTTATAACTAGAAAAAAAGTCTTCTTTTTTTTGTTTGTTTTTTTGGTTGGTTCTGGGGCTTCAACTCTGGGCCTGGGCACTGTCCCTCAGCTCTTCAGCTCAAGGCCAGTGTTTTACCACTTGAGCCACAGCACCACTTGCAGTTTTCTGGTGGCTAATTGGAGATAAGAGTCTCACAGACTTTCCTGCCTAGGCTGGCTTTGAACCGTGATCCTCAGATCTCAGCCTCCTAGGAAGCTACGATTACAGGCGTGAGCCACCCATGCCTGGCCTAGTTTTAGAAACAGGCTTATTTTGGAAGCACATTTTCCCAATTCCACAAGGGGGCTCTAAGCAGGACTGAATTCCTGGACAGTTTGTTTAATCTTCCCTGACAGCTCCTTTTTGCTGTCAGCCTCTGTCCAGGAGTCCACACGTCTCTAAGCAATGGGAACTGATGAGGCTGGTCCTTAACTGTATTAGCAAGAATGAGCGATGGCAGGCAGGATTTCCTGAACACGGTGGCGGCACTGTGCTTTGCATCTTCATACCTGCTAGAGTGGATTTCTGAGGTGGTTGGGCATTTTTGTTGTACATTGTTTGTTTTTGGTTTTTTGCCAGTCCTGGGGCTTGAACTCTGGGCCTGGGCCCTGTCCCTGAGCTTCTTTTGCTCAAGGCTACTGCTCTACCACTTGAGCCACAGTGCCAATTCCAGCTTTTTCTATGTATGTGGTACTGAGGAATCGAACACAGGGATTCATGCATGCTAGAGACACACTCTACCACTAAGCCACATTCCCAGCCCATGTTGTGTTTTTTGTCTGTTTGTTTTGCATCTCTCTTCAAAGGTTCATTTCTCAGCAAAAACCAAACACACACACACACATTTAATCAAATGGGATGTGTCAGTAGCTTCATCCAAATGTGAAGCATCTTTTGTTGTTGTTGTTGTTAGAGATTTTTACTGGGTCAGTTTGAGACTATGTAGCCTGGCCTGGCCTGGAATTCTCAAATCTCTTTCTGCCTTTGCCTCCTGAGTGTACTGGGATAACAGATGTGCTGCTTGTTTTTTGAGATAGAGATAGAGACAGAGAGGGAGAGGGAGAGGAGAGGGAGAGGGGGAGGGGGAGGGAGAGGGGGAGGGAGAGAGGGGCAGGGAGAGGGAGGGAGAGGGGGAGAGAGCCAGTACCAAGGTTTGAACTCAGGGCCTCAAGCTCTTGCTCAACTGTTTTTGCTCGCTGGCGCTCTTGTCACTTAAGCCATGCCTCTAGTTTCCAACACCTTGCAGGTTCATTGGAGATAAGATTTGTCTATCTGGACTGACTGAACTGTGATGCCCAGATGTCAGTCTCCTGAGTAGCTAGGGTTACAGGTGTGATCCACTGCACATAGCCAGCTATTAGTCACACTTTCAAAAGATAGAGAGACTGAAGTACAAAGTAGGTAAGTGACGTCACAGGCCAAATTGTGTCCCTATTTAAATTCCTGTTTTGGAAACCACAATGTCATTGTATTGGGAAATAAGGCCTTTAAGGAAATAAAAATAAGTTAGATGAGGTTGTAACAGTGGGTCTCTAGCTTAATGTCCTTAGAAGAGAAGAGATACAGAGGTAGGGCAGCTGAGGAAAGAGTGCGCATGCACAGGAGGCAGGCAGCACCTGCAGACGGGAGAGACCTCCGGTCTGGGCACAAGGTCACCTTGACCTAGGACGTGCAGGCTTCAGAGCTGTGCAGCAATGTCGTCAGGTGTATAGGCCCACACATTAATCCAGGGGACTAAGCTGAGACTTTTCACCTGTGGGAAGGGCTGGGAGTGGACTCAGGTCATTTGGTACCTGAGTTTGGGCTTTTTAACCGTCTGGCACAGCATCTCTTGTCCTGAATACAAGTCCTGGTGTCAGGCAGGGTGACCCCAGGGACTCCTCGTGTGTGGGGGAGCAGCTGGTGGACTGTCCACTCAAGGGTATTGTTGTTGTCTGTTGTGGGGACACACTCACCCCACCACCACCCCCGAGGCTGTGGTCAGCTCCGCCTCCCCAGCCTTACAAGCTGCAGCTGGGCACCATTGAGAACAAGTTAGGCATAGAGTAGGCACTTTTCTGAGGTCTTTGAAAGGAGATAATGAAGATGGTGCTCCCTGCCCCAATCCCACCCCAGATCTCTCAGCCTTGGAGAAAAGGAAGGTGTGGAGAGGCAGCCCTGCCCTGGCGAGGAGCAGGTGTGGGGGGGCCTCTTGCAGGCTAGCTGGGGAGCAGAGGCCGCCTCCCCTACCTCCACTCCCAACTCTCCCCCTGGTGAGCAATGGTTCACAAGGGGCTCAGAGGAGGCCACAGCCCACAGTGGTCCTCAGAAAGGGAGAACATCTCCACCACTACCCACCTGTCCCCAAAACAAGGCCCTCTATTAGGCCTTCTTTCCTTTTAGGACCAGCCTGCCAGCACACAGCAGATCACTCCTGCAGCAACACATCCTTAACAATTCTTTCTCACGGGGCTGGGAAGGTGGCTCAGTGGTAGAGCGCTTGCCTTGCATGCCTAAGGCTCTGGGTTGATTCCTCAGCACCACATAAGCAAAAAGAAAAAAGCCGGAAGTGGTGCTGTGGCTCAAGTGGTAGAGCGCTAGCCTTGAGCTGAAGAGCTGAGGGACAGCGCCCAGGCCCAGAGTTCAGGCCCCACGACCGGACCCAAAAACAAAACAATTCTTTCTCAGAAAAGTCGACACAAAGTACAAACAAATTAAAAAAAAAAGTGATGTTAATCTGTAACATCACTGGTAGTATTCTATACTTATAGAATTTACTCTTTTAGATTTAATTTGGAATACCTGAATTAGATATTTAATATTTTAGCCAACAAATAATCTTTTATTAACATAGAACTTCAGCTGTGCTCTTTTTAAGTCTCTTCCTGAGATAAATAGTAAACTTAGAGACATTTCAAAATAACCCAGAAGTACAAGGTGACAGAGAGAAAGCAAGATTGACCTGTAACAACTGATGCTGTACTGAATATACAGGACTGTCTTTTTTGGTGGTACTGGGGTTTGAACTCAGGGACTCATACTTGCTAGACAAGAACTCTGCCACTTAAGCTGGAGTTATTTCTCAGACAGTGTTGCTTTTTACCCAGGGACAGCTTCAGATCAAGATCCTCCTACCTATGCCCCTCACATAGTTGGAATTAGACATGAGCCATCTCATCCAGCTCATTTACTGAGATGAGGTCCCCACTTTTTACATGAGCTGGCCTTAACACAAGCCTTCCAATCTCTGCCCCGCAGGTAGATGGGATTCTAAATGTGAGTCACCAAACCCCATCACTTTCTTGATTTTTTTCCTCCCAGAACTGGGGGAACATTCTACCACTGAGCACACCTCTAGTTCTTTTTGGAAGATGTTTGAAATGTCCCATAATAAAAATATGCTTGAGACTTGGATGAAAGCATGTACATGTACCTATGGATGTGTACATATGAACTTTAGTTTTAAACTAAAAACAATGTACTAGGAAGGATTCTATTCCAAAGCATTTATTACTCTTTAAAAATCAGACTGTATGCAGTTGCCCTTCATGGAGGAGTTCTGTGCCTCCCTCACCATGGTCCCACGCAGCCTGCAGACTGCCCCCACTTCCCATCATCCTCGCTGTCCTGCGTGTCCTCCCTGTCCTCCACCCCATGGTTCCTGACAACACTGAGCAGCAGGCCTGATCAGAGCCACGCCAGCAATCTCGAGCCCAAACGCTTCACAAACAGCCGTACACATTCCAGATACATAGAAAAATAATATAGTTAGGATTTATACAAAGTGGAGTTTTACAAAAACCACCTCACTACAAGAAATACACCTTCCATCCACACGTACAGATGGGGAAGTGCATGTTGAAGAAAGACATTTATTCAGGAATGCTGAATGGGAAGGCAGACCGATCTAGCTCTGGCTCCGAGCACTTCAGTCCTCAAGCAGGAATTTCACTCCATCCTAAGCTCAACTCGGCTCCTGCAGGGCTTAAACGGCCGTTCCTCTCTCCAGGTTCTGCTTGATCTCAGCTGTGTACTTGCCATAGAAGCGCTCGGCTTTCTTGTTGAACTTGGCGTTCCTCTCATTAATGTAGTCAATGTCGGCATCATCATTGTAGGGGCGTCTCCGGCTGTATTTGTCTCGCTTCTCAATTCTGGGGGAAGGAAACCATGTACACAAAGTCAGAAGTGCCTCGACCCCGAGGTTCAGAACAGAATCGGTACTAGACAGGAGCAGATTCAAGTAGAAAGTACTAACTGGCAGCAGAAGGAGGGAGGGAGCATGGGCCTAGTGCCTGCTCTCACCCAAGCCCTTCTGGAAAGCACTGGCACTGTCAGGAGTCCCACAAGTGAAGTACCACTTAAGACCATTATCAGCCAATCACACTACCTCTCACAACCCAGCTAATGCACGCATGTGCATGCAGGGCCCACCGTGTGCACTGGCTCAGCACACACTGCACTCTGCTCTGCCAGTGTCATCTCCAGCAGCAGAGATTAACAGGTACAGTGACTAGAACATGCTTGCCTCTTCATAGTGGAGTAAAGGCCCTTGGAGAGTGGCTTTCTTTAGGCCTAGTTCCTTTGATCACAACTATTACAGCTTGGATCTGAAAGAGCCCCCACCACTGAAGGTGCATCGGTTGAAGGCTGGGTCCCTAGCCCATGTGCTACTGAGAGGTGGGGGGCCCAGGAAAAGTCAGGTAGTACTGGGGATGTGCCTTAAAAGGGCTACTGGAACCTCAGCTCCCCACATCCCTGCCCCAACTTGCTTCCTAGCCCAGGCTCAAAGCACCTGGCCAAGCAACCATGGATTGAAGTCTCTGAAGCCATGAGCCAAAAGAAACCCTTCCTCCTCTAAGTTGTGAATCTGGGGCATTTTGTTGCAGGGACAGAAAGCCGATTAACACATTTCAATTGCATCTCCATTCCAAACCACATGGATTCCAGTCATACTGCAAAACCAGAAGACATTAGGTTAGAACAAGCTAGTCTCACCTCTGCGTGTTTGATTCATGCCAGCACATCAGACCCAGAAGCATGCAGCCCTGCCGAGTACTTACTGTTTCTCCAGATCTATGACCATCCTATCAATCTCCTCTGAGGAAGGCACGTGTGTCCCATGAAGAAGACTGTTGGATGTTGGGAAAAACTCCTCTCCACTGAAAGACAGCAAATGGACTGTTAATGTCAAATGCACCAGTTTCAAATCTTAAATCAGACTATCAGGCATGGAGAGCAAGATCTGAGGATTGTGGTTCAAAGCCATCCCAAGCAGTAGAGTCTATGAGACTCTTGTCTCCATTAAACCACCAAAAAAGCCAAAAGTGAAGCTGTTGCTCCAGTAGTAGAGTGCTAGCCTAGGACAGCAGTTCAAGCCTGAGAACAGGCACAAAAAATAAAAAATTAAGAAAAATACACACAGATGCCAGGTGCTGATGGCTCACACCTGTAATAATACTCAGGAGGCTAAGATCTGAGGATCATATCTCTACGCCAACCCAGGCAGGGAAGTCCATGAGACTTATCACCAGTTAACCACCAGAAACCCAGAAATGGTGCTGTGGCTCAAGTGGTAGAGTGCTCACCTTGAGCTGAAGAGCTGAGGGACAGCTCCCAGGCCCAGAGTTTAAGCCCCCTGACCAACATAATCTTAAAAAAATACACACATATATTTGCTATGGGATAGAGTTATTGTGAAAGAGAGGGAAGAAAAGGAAGGAGGGAGAGAGGATTAGCAAGAACTAAGAAGCCAGGTACCAGTGGCTCACACCTGTAAATCTAGCTATTCAGGAGACTGAGATCTGAGGATCACAGTTCAAAGCCAGGCTGGACAGGAACGTCCACGAGATTCTTACTTCCAATTAACAAAAAGTCAGAAGTGGAGCTGTGGCTCAAAGTGGAAAAGTGCTAGCCTTGAGCAAAGGAGCTCAGGGAGAGCAACAGGTCCTGAGTTCAAAGCCCATGATCAACTGAAAAAAAAAAAAACCCTAAGAAAACACCTTCATCTTTGGATGGAATGAACCAATGGTCAGGGGTGAAGGACTTAGTCAAGATCACAAGCTCAGGCTATGTCTCTTTCTGCCAAAGCAGGGGTCTGCATATACAGCCCACCACGCACATCTTCCTTGGAGAATACTTTTATGGGGACATTTAAGTTCACTTGGGTTGGCTTTCCTACCGCAGCAGCACAGGTGAGCAGGCAAGGCCACTACCCCAGCGCTCAGGCCTACCACCCAATCTGGTAAGCTGGCATGAAGAACTTAACACTCAGAAGGCCCAGAAACCAGATGGCTGGCTCTTCAGAGAACAACGAATGGTGCTGTCAACACAAGACAGCCATCCTTAGCAGCTGACACTCCCCACCTCTCGCTGAAGCCAGAGTAGTAATGTGTGCAAACACAAGTCCTCCACGCCCTCAGGAGGGTGGAGATACTTTATGCCCGAAGACTTACTGCTTTTCTCTCAGTCGTTCATAGGCTTCCATGTCAGGTTTGATCTGCTTGGTCAACCGATGATACTGGCGCAACTGGGCAGCGGCGTAATCTAAGAAGCAAATGAGAATCCAGATGAGGCATGTCCTTGTTTGGGCATTTGCTATTGATTTCATTTTATCACAAGGAGGAAAAATAAGCAGCTGAGCAGTCTGTTTAGGGTCTGCACTTTTCCTGGCCTCTTGGAGAATACTGCAGGGAGGAAGCACAGGAGCACTGCTCCATGACTCAGAAACTCGGCCATGTAACAAGCCTGCTCAGCAAAGTCAAGTTCAAGTGGTCACTTCTACCTGAAAACCCCAGGTCAGGGTTTTTCCTCTTCTTTTTCCTCTCCCATCTCTCTGCATCCTCTGCACTGATCTCCAGCAACTTCACTTTCTCATAGTCTTCCCCTCTTGCTGCGCATTCCTGGAAACAGCAACAACGTAGGTAGATTAGTAGGACTGCATATGCCTGGATTACAGGTGAGCAACTACTGCACCCATTTCAAATTGGGAACAATACTTTTTTTGGGGGGGTGGGGTGGTGGTACTGGGGTTAGAACTCAGGGCCTCAAGCTTAGCAGGTAGGTAGTCTATCATTTGATCTTTGCCTCCAGACCTTTACATTTTGAAGGGAATTTGGGAACCTGTTATGGTACTTTAGTAACAGCAGAGCACACAAAACTTATGTTTTACCTGTATTAGCTCACTGAATTAAAAATTTGCTCAAAAATTATTATTGGAGCCCCAGTTTTATAGATAAAAACAGAGTCATACACAGGTTAAGTAACCTGCCCACAGTGGGTAAAGAGCAGACAGAGGCTTGTCAACACTTTCTTCTGTCGTAGTAAGAGTATGGTGGAAGAAATGGCTGATGGATACAAGGAAGCACTTCCTAACCTTTTTCTTTTCTTCTTCCTGTAGTTCCCATTCTAAACGAGCTTTTTTGGCTTCCCAATTTGCAGGCAACTTAAGTCTTTTATCTTCTTCCACAACTTCTTGGTGATTTAACTTACGAGCTTCATTCTAAAAATAAAAAAAACATTGTCAGAGCCCGGCAGGGTGGCCCAAGCCTGTATTCACAGTACTCGGGAGGCAGAGGCAGAAGGATAATGGGAAGTCCACAGAGGCTGGGCTAACAGTAAAACCTTGTCTCAAAGGTAAATTAAAAAAATAAAAGGGCCGGGCGCCGGTGGCTCACGCCTGTAATCCTAGCTACTCAGGAGGCTGAGATCTGAGAATTGCGGTTCAAAGCCAGCCCGGGCAGGAAAGACCGTGAGACTCCTATCTCCAATAAACCACTAGAAAAAACAGGAAGTGGCGCTGTAGCTCAAGTGGTAGAGCGCTCGCCTTGAGCTGAAGAGCTGAGGGACAGCGCCCAGGCCCAGAGTTCAAGCCCCATGACCAACAAAAATAAAAATTAAAAAAATTAAAAATAAAAGGGCTGGGAATGTGGCTTAGTGGTAGGTAGAGTCCTTGCCTAGCATGCATGAAGCTCTTGGTTTGATTCCCCAGTACCACATACACAGAAGTGACATTGTGGCTCAAATGGTAAAGTGCTATCCTTGGGCAAAAGAAGTTCAGGGACAGCGCCCAGGCCCCAAGTTCAAGCCCCACAACTGGCAAGGAAAAATACAAATACACAAAAATGATAATAAAGATTGTCAGATGAAACATGATGAAATCCAAATACATCTTGCCTTCTTCACAGAGGGCCAAGTAGGACACATTGACAAGGTAACCCCTTTTCCCTATAAGCAATAAAAAGCCATCAAATGATTTTAAGCAAAGAAGTAACCTAAAAGGCACATAATGATATAGTACAGGTATTAGGTATAAGATCTCTCTCTCCTTTTGTTTTTGGTGGGTCTGAAGCTCAAACTCAAGGCCTGGGTGCTATATATTTTTGTTCAAGGCTAGCACTCTTTATCACTTGAATCAGAGCTCCACTTCTGGCTTTTTGGTGGGTTAATTGGAGATAATCTTCAGACTTTCCTGCATGGGCTGACTTCAAACAGCGATCCTCAGATTTCAGCCTCCTAGGATTACAGGTATGAGCCACCAAGACCTGGCTTCTTGTTGTTGCTGGTACCAAGATTTGAACTAAGGGCCTCTGGCTTTCACTCAGCTTTCTTGGTTTTGTTTTGTGTTTAAGTTTCAGCAATGTTTTATTTTGATATAACAGGATTAAAGTAGAGAAAAGTAGAAAAAGTCAGCAACAATCCATTTCCTGTTCCTCATAGACAAACTTAAGAGTCAGCTCTCTTGCTCATAGCTAGTCTCTACCATATGAGTCATTTCTCTAGTCCAGCATTTTGCTGCTTAACTGGAGAAGAACTCACGAATGTTTCTGCCTGGACTGCCTTCAAACCACAATCCTTCAAATCTCAGCATCCTGAGTAAGAAATTACAGACATATGCCACCAGCATCCTGTGAGACATGTGTTCTTTACACAGTCCTTAATATTAAAGCACATCTGTTTATTAGACTAATTTTTTTGACAGAAGATACTCCAACGATTAAGGGTGTGGCTCAGTGATACAGAGATTACCTAGCACGGTGAAAGCAGAGTTTGCTCCCTAACACCTCAAGAAAGAAAAGAGGAAAACAGATTATCACCTTCATATACTATTGGTTCTGTTGGTGTACTCTGGTTTGTAGTCAAACAAAGCTGAGTTTGAAGGAAAGGGCAAAGCATACAGACCATTTGATTGACAGTGTTGAATGGGGCTGCTGACAAGGCTTGAGTTCATCTGATTACTGGGGTAAGAATCAAGGCACTGTCAGGCAGAAGGGGCATTCTTTAAAGACTTTAGATTTTTATGTAACAGGCAGATATAATACAGTGACACAATAATTGGTAGTGAGTGAGTAGTAGTGGGGCAAAAGTGGCTCCCGCCTGTAATCCTAGTTACTTGGGAAGATGATCTGAGGATCACAGTTCAAGGCCGGCCCAGACAGAAAAGTCCTCAAGACTCTTATCTCCAATTAGCCACCAAAAACCAGGAAGTGGAACTGTGGCTCAGTGGTAGAGCACTAGCCTTGAGTTGGAAAAAGCTAAGAGGCAGCACCCTGGCCCTGAGTTCATGCTTCAGTACTGGCATGAAAGGTCCCCACCTTAAACGTCTGGGGACAAAGCAACTCTTACCGACACTTCACAAGTCTCTTCCACTTCTAGCTCTACATATTTCCCTAGATAAAACGAGGAGTTTGTGCAAATGATAAAGCAGGAAAGCTGTGAATAAAAGATTCCTAAATCAAGCCCAAAATAAATCAGCTCGGGGGCGGGGAGAGAAATGGGGGAGCAAGCAGATAGATGTTTCAAAGTGATCTCGACGTGCTGGGGGGACACAGTCCTGCCGAGTTCGGCGCGCGAGCTCCCCGCCCGGGGCGCAGGCCTGGCCCAGCCAGGTGACGGGTTCGAGGGAGCCTCTCCCGCAACTCACCCGCTTCAGGTGCAGCTCTCGGAATTTGCGCAGTCTCTGTTCGCGCTTCTGGGCAGCCAAGTCCTCGGTCGCCGTGCCGGGCTCCTCCTCCGTGCAGTCTCCCGCCACCTACGGCAAAGGGAACCGGCGTCAAGCAGGGCTCGGCGCCGCTCCTCCCGAGACGGTCCGGGCCGAGAACGGGCGATTCCCGCAGGCCAGGCCCGGGCCCTCGACGGCCAGCCCCGAACTCCCCGTGTCGAGTGCCGTCCCGTCTCAGCAGCCGGTCCCGTCTTCGTTTTTTGTTCCTCTCTCTCCGCAGAAGCCTGATCAACGAAATCCCCGGAGTAGGGCTGGTAGCACCCACCTTCTGGACGTCGGTAGCAGCCGCCATTACTGCCTTCCTCTTCCTACTTCCGGCAACAACGCGAAGCACTTCCGGAGGCCTTAGTACAAATAAGCTGCCTCAGGCTCCTCCCCTTCCGGGCGTTGAAACAGACCAATCCCCGCCCCTTTGAGTGGTGTTTTCTCATTGGACAAGGTCTTGCGCAGCCGTCCGAGACTTCGGAGAAGCCTGACGGCCCCGCAGTGCGCTTTCCTTCCCTGCTCGGAACCTGTTGCTGCCGAACCCGTGCTAACGTTGGTAAATTGCAGTAAGGTGTTGTTCTACAACAGGAATACGTGAAATTATTGTTTTCTGAACTAGTTACACATAGAAATGAAAAAGCACTTTTCCAGCCGGGCGCGGTGGCTCACGCCTGTAATCCTAGCTACTCAGGAGGCTGAGATCTGAGGATCGCGGTTCAAAGCCAGCCTGGGCAGGAGAGACTCTTACCTCCAATAAACCACCAGAAAACCGGAAGTGGTGCTGTGGCTCAAGAGGTAGAGCGCTAGCTTTTTTTTTTTTGGGTCCGGTCGTGGGCCTGAACTCTGGGCCTGGGCGCTGTCCCTCAGCTCTTCAGCTCAAGGCAAGCGCTCTACCACTGAGCCACCTTCCCAGCCCAAGTGCTAGCTTTCAACTGAAAAGCTGAGGGACAGCACCCAGGCCCAGAGTTCAAGACCCACAACCGACTATATGTATACAACCGACACTCTCTCTCTCTCTCTCTATATATATATATATATTCAATGAGTAGATACTGTACCATAATTGTGCAATGAAACTGATCTATATTAGCATAGTGTATAGGCAAAGAAAAAACTTCCTGTATATACTTGCCATTTATAATTATTTCCTCTCTAGCCCAACACCAATGGCTCACACCTGCAATCCTAGCTACTCAGGAGACTGAGATCTGAGGATTGACATTCAAAGCCAGCAGGAGCAGAAAAGTTTTTGTGAGACTCTGATCTCCAATTAACCACCCAAAAACTGGAAGTGGTGCTGAAAAGAGCTCAGGGACATCGCCCAGGCACTGAGTTCAAGCCCTACAATGGACAATAATAATAATATTTCCTCTGGGAAATGGAAGAAAGGTCATTGTACTTTTTTTTTTTCCTACTGGTGCTGGGGTTTGAACTCTGGGCCCTGGTATTATCCCTGAGCTTCTTTTGCTCAAGGTGAGTACTCTACCACTTGAGCCACAGTCCACTTCCAATTTTTTAGTGATTTATTAGAGATAAGAGTCTCACAGACTTTCCTGCCCAGACTGGCTTCAAACCACGATCTTCAGATCTCAGCCTCCTGAGTAGCTGGATTACAGGTGTGAGCCACAGGTGCCTGACACTTTGATTTTTTACAATAAGTTAAATATAGCCATACTGTCTTCTATCAAAAATGTTAATTGTCATACTTGGATCTTGTTTTTCTTTTGGTGCCAGTCCTGGGGCTTGATCTCACAGTCTTTTTTTTTTTTTTTTTTGGTCGGTCATGGGGCTTGAACTCTGGGCATGGACGCTGTCCCTCAGCTCTTCAGCTCAAGGCGAGCGCTCTACCACTTGAGCTACAGCGCCACTTCTGGTTTTCTGGTGGTTTATTGGAGATAGGAGTCTCATGGACCCTCCTGCCCGGGCTGGCTTTGAACTGCGATCCTCAGATCTCAGCCTCCTGAGTAGCTAGGATTACAGGCGTGAGCCACCAGCGCCTGGCGATCTCACAGTCTTGCACTTACTTTTTGTACATAGTTCTCTACCATTTGAGCCACATCTCCACTAATGGGTTTTTGGTGATTAATTGCAGGACACGTGTCTTGTGGACTTTTCTGCCCAGGTTGGCATACAACCAAGATCCTCAGATCCTAGCCTTTGAGTAGTTAGGAATACAGGCATTAGGTGCTGGCACCCAGCCTTAGTCTTCTGACACTTTCACTGTTAGCTCTTTCCTTCAGACTTGTTAAGCATGCTTGACACTGCTCTATTTCCTATTTCATTCCTTAATGACCCATTTTCTCTATTACCCACTATCCTGAATAGTTTTTATTTTTAATCAAGTTGTGAAGTAAGACATTTACACAGAACAGCTAAGGAAATTTCCCTTGTCCAAACCACGTGCTGCCTCCTGAGATCATGACCAAATGATACTAACAGGAGATGCATTCCAGAAGTACATACGCAAGTCACTGGACATTTACGTATCTAATAGGGTCAAATTCCTCTTCCGAACTGCTTTGTCACATAGAATGTCCTATAATACATTCTATGATTTGTACTTTCCAATAAAATAGCAACTTTGCCACGTGGATACTGAAAATTGGCTACTACAAAAAAATTTTTTTCTGCTTGTACCAGAACTTGCACTCCCAGGCTGGGAAGGTGGCTCAGTGGTAGAGCACTTGCCTTGCATGCTCGAGGCCCTGGGTTCGATTCCTCAGCACCACATAAGAAAAAAGCCAGAAGTGGCGCTGTGGCTCAAGTGGTAGAGTGCTAGCCTTGAGCTGAAGAGCTGAGGGACAGCGCCCAGGCCCAGAGTTCAGGCCCCACAACCAGACCCAAAAAAAAAAAATAATAACTTGCACTCCCAGGTGGCATGCTACAACCTGAGCCACATCTCATGCTACAACCTGAGCCACATCTCCAGTCCAGCTTTTGATGGTTAACTGGAGGAGTTTCTCTTCTGCCCTGGCTAGCTTCAAATCTGGACACCCTTACTCCCTGCCCCCAGAAGATCTCAGCCTGAGTAGCTACCATTACAGGTGTGAGCCACAAACAGTTGGCTAAGCAACTGTTTTTTGTTTTGTTTTGTTTTACTGGTCTTGGGGCCTTAACTCTGGGCCTGGGCGCTGTCCCTCAGCTCTTTAGCTCAAGGCTAGCACTCTAACACTTGAGCCACAGAGCCACTTCTGGCTTTTTCTGCTTATGTGGTGCTGAGGAATTGAACCCAGGGCCTTATGCATGCAAGGCAAGCACTCTACCACTGAGCCACCTTCCCAGCCCAGCAAATGTTTATTTTAAATAGAGTACATGGAGAGCAGTTCAACCTCATCACCTTTAGAATAGGATCAAAGTATGGGAACCAAGTCAATTGCCCAAGGGCCAACGACTTAACGTGCCTCTGTAACGGGATCTCCATAAGTGTTCAGATTTTAGGCTTGGGTATGTGTGCCTATGCAAATACAAACCTGAGAAACATTTAACTTTCATCCCACAAACTTTACCTGTTCACATGTATTCTTTGTAAGCCAGTAAGTTGTTTTCCAATTCCTTGAGCCTTTATAGGCAAACTATCCAACTGAACCAAGAATGGAAGCTTCATCATGAAGATGTAGAGCAACATGGGGAGTCATCATATGAAGGGGATGGAGGGCAGTCTGGTAGGGCTGACCCTTAATGGTCCCTACCTTCAAGTCATAAATTTTGGACACTGAGCAAAGGAAGAGAAAGTTGCTTGGTGTCAGAAATGTTGTAGACGGGCGCAGGTGGCTCACACCTGTAACCTAACTACAGGAGGCTGAGATCTTAAGATCATGGTTCAAAGCCAGCACAAGCAGGAAAGTCCACGAGACTCCTCCAAATAACCAACCAGAAAACCTGCTGTGGCTCAGAGGTAGAACACTAGACCATAGGCAAAAAAGCTCACACAGGCAAAGTTCAAGCCTACCAAATAAAGAGTTATGGCCAGTCGCTGCTGGCTCACACCTGTAATTCTAGCTACTCAGGAGGTTGAGATCTGAGGATTGTGGTTCAAAGCCAGCCCAGGCAGAAAAGTCCATGAGACTCATCTCCAATTAATCACCAGAAAACTGAAGTAGAGCTGTGGCTCAAGTGGTAGAGCACTTACCTTGAGCTGATCTCAGGGACAGCGCCCAGGCTCAGAGCTCAAGCCCCATGACTGACAGTAATAAAGTTGTGGAGTTTCCTTTATAATCTGCGTATTTACCTTACCTGAATATTTTGCTTATCTCCAGCTTATTAGTTGAGCCTATTGGAATCTATTCTTTTGTTTTCTAAATTTAAAATGCTCAATGTCATGCCTATAATTCCTAGCTACTGGGGGCTGGGAAGGTGGCTCAGTGGTAGAGTGCTTGCCTTGTATGCATGAGGCCCTGGGTTCAATTCCTCAGCACCACATAAGGAGAAGCCAGCAGTAACGCTGTGACTCAAGTGGTAGTGCTAGCCTTGAGCCAAAGAGCTGAGGGACAGCACATAGGTCAAGTTCAAGCCAAGACCGACAAAGAAAAAAAAGTCCTAGCTACTCAGATTGACATCTGAGAATCATGATACCAGGACGAATTTTTAACTCTATCAGAAAAAAAACAAACTTCATGGAGACATAGCTTAACACGAAGAACACAAGCCAGCTGAGCAAGCCCCTGAAGTTCAAGCTCCAGTACTAACACACACACACACACAAACACAAGAGAGGAGTGAGGGACATTAATGTTGGGGGAAAAAAAAAGTTACACTAAAATAAGACAATCCCAAAAAGGTATTGTCAAAAGGGGTGGCTCACGCCTGTAATCCTAGCTACTTAGGAGTGCAGTTCAAAGCCAGCCCAGGCAGTAAAGTCTGTAAGACTCATCTCCAATGAACCACCAGAAAACGAAGTGGCACTGTGGCTTAAGTGATAGAGCACTTGCCTTTAGCTGAAGAGCACAGGGACAGCACCCAGGCCGAGTTCAAGCCCCTCAATCAACAACAAAAAAAGGGGGTGGGGGGAAGTGAGTATTAAAGACATAAAACACCAATCCATTTTCAGCTCTTTTGCCTGGTTTCTAGCATGCCAGGCTTTGATGTTAAGCCTAGCAGATAGGCATAATGAAGTCATTAAGTTTATGGAATCTGGCATCTTACACTATATCCTTAACCTCAAAATGGCTGAAACTCTTCAGAGTGTAACATTTATGTATCAACAGACATAAAATTTACGTAAGTGTTATCAGCTAGCTTAGATGACTTTTAATCCACAGTACAGCATCCACTTTGAAAATATGTGCTTATGGGCTGGGAAGGTGGCTCAGTGGTAGAGCACTTGCCTTGCATGCATGAGGCCCTGGGTTCGATTCCTCAGCACCACATGAGCAAAAAGAAAAAAGCCGAAGTGGAGCTGTGGCTCAAGTGGTAGAGCGCTAGCCTTGAGCTGAAGAGCTGAGGGACAGCGCCCAGGCCCCATGACTGGACCCAAAGGGAAAAAAAAAAAATGTGTGTGTGTGTGTGTGTGTGTGTGTGTGTGTGTGTGTGTGTGCGCTTAAGTTCTTCCCAGCTATACTAGTATCAAGAATTTCAAAATGAGGGCTGGGAAGTTGGCTCAGTGGTAGAGCGCTTGCCTTGCATGCCTGAGGCCCTGGGTTTGATTCCTCAGCACCACATAAGCAAAAAGAAAAAAGCTGAAGTTGCGCTGTGGCTCAGGTGGTAGGGCACTAGCCTTGAGCTGAAGAGCTGAGGGACAGTGCTCAGGCCCAGAGTTCAGGCCCCACAACCGGACCAAAAAAAAAAGAATTTCAAAATGACTACACACTATCTTCAAAGCCTAACAACTGCCAACTATACACATGATTTTTATATCTTTTTTTTTTGGGTCTGATCGTGGGGCCTGAACACTATCCCTCAGCTGTTCAGCTCAAGGCTAGCACTCTACCCCTTGAGACACAGTGCCACTTGCGGCTTTTTTCTTTTTGCTTATGTGGTGCTGAGGAATCAAACCCAGGGCTTCAGGCATGCAAGGCAAGCGCTCTACCACTGAGCCACCTTCCCAGCCCTGATTTTTATATCTTAATGAGGTGTTGCCCTTTCATCTTTCTTAGTTTCCTGTTCGGAAACCCATGCTAATCTGGCTTAATTCTGGCCAATTTCTCACATTTCTAAAATATCCACACCTGGTATATGCCTATAGTTTCCTGTTCAGAAACCTATGCTAATCTGGCTTAATTCTGGCCAATTTCTCACATTTCTAAAATATCCACACCTGGCATGGTATATGCCTGTAGTTCTAGTTACTTAACTGGGTTAAGAGGATCGTTTGAGAACAAACTTGAGCAACATGGTGCAACCCCACCTTTACATACAAAAAAATAATCCAGCCAGCACTGGTATAGCTCATGCTTGTAATCTTAGCTACTCAGGAAGCTGAGTGGTTCAAAACCAGCTAGCAGAGAAAAGTCAGTGAGACTCCTACTTCCAATTAACTCCTAGGGCTAGGAAGGTGGCTCAGTGGTAGAGTGCTTGCCTTGCATGCCTGAGGCCCTGGGTTCGATTCCTCAGTACCACATACACAGAGAAAGCCAGAAGTGGCGCTGTGGCTCAAGTGGTAGAGTGCTAGCTTTGAGCAAAAGAAACTTAGGGACAGTGCCCAAGCCTGGAGTTCAAGCCCCAGAACTGGCAGGAAAAAAAATCCAATTAACTCCTATATCCAATTAAGGCCTAAGCCCTACATTAACTGCTTGGATTTGGGATGAACAAACCTAAACACATGATGGCTCCTTTAGGTTCTTCTATTGAATAAAGACTCAATAGGCAATATATGCATTAAAAACATAATAAAAACACAATTTTATTAACAAATATACAAAACATACACAGTTCAATTACTGTGTCTTACAAATTTCACTTCTGTAAAACCAACTTATATTACACAATATTTACAAGAATATATACAAAACTCCCACCTGTATGTAATCTCTGGTCCACTTATGCTCTCTTCAAGAGAAACCTAAAAATGGTAACATTTTACTATTAAGTACATATGTTTTGTATGGGTTTTTAATTGCAACAATTATTGATAACTGACTCAAAGAGAATGCTAGGAACAGAAACTTGCAATAAAGTGCAATTTTAGGCAATCTTAGCCATTAGTTTTCTTCTTTTAGACCGGTATCCATAGTCCATATGGACTTTTTTTCTTATCTATCTTTGGCAATCCTGAAGATGTTTCTTCAGCAGCGGCTTTAGCTGTTTTCTGTATTGGCTTCGCAACAGAATTCTGTAAGGCAATAAATTAAAATCAGCTTCTTACACACAGATTACATAGGTCTGTTTTTCACAAAATATATCAATTTCATTTAAAGAGACATTATCAAGCAAAAGCACAAGCCTACACAATGTGAATGCAAACCTTTATATTTGCCAGTCATGAGGCTAGAACTCTGAGCCTGGGCACTGTGCCTGAGCTCTTTAGCTTAAGGCAAGCACTCTACCACTGGAGCCACAGCGCCACCTCCAAACCTTTTTTCTGTGTGCCATTCACGGGGCTTGAACTGGGGGCCTCTGGGTACTGTTCTTGAATTTTTGTTGATCAAAGCTAAAGCTCTACCACCACTTCACTTCCAGTTTTGGTTCTTAATTGGAAATTAGTATCTCATGGACTTTCTAGCCCTCACTGGCTTCAAACCTTAATCCTCAGATCTCAGCCTCCCTGAGTATCTGGGGTTCCAGGTGTGAGCCCCCAACCCCCAAGCAAATGTTTTAACATTCTGAACCCAATCTGAATAATGATTTACATACACTTACATTAGCACTAAAAGCTATGTTTCTTCTCTGTGGCGACTTTTCACTGAGATTTTTAGTTCCATCTTCCAATTGTTTTTCAGACAGCTAGACAGGTAAGAAAAAATAATTTTTTTAAAAACTTATCTTTGGATTTATAATTAGGGTATAAATAGAAGCCCAACCATATACACCACAGCCTAAACAACACACACAACTGTTGAGCTGTCCAATAATCAAGACTGACTTAATAGCAGGTCACACTTCCCCACACTTTTTATTCACCTGCTCCAAATTCAAATGAACAATTTTTAAGGCCTTGCCAGTTTGGCACCTCACTGCCTGAAAAGTAACTAAACTTGTCTAATCCTAATATTGTAACTGGATCCCAACAGTAAATTCATTCAGACCAGTTATCTTTACTTTGACATCAATTTCTACCTTGACTTCTGAAGCTATCAATTTTAAGCTTTAGATTTCATACAATTAACAGGAAATAGTGTTGTTTTCCAGTGTACATCCAGCATATTTCTGGAGAATTATAATAAACTTATCTGCAAGTGAAGCAGGCCTCCTCTTCTGTAATCTCTCAAAACATCTGGAATATATTGCATATATTATGAAAGGGACATCTATACCACAGATGCCCCACCATTAAGAAGTGTTCCTTTGCTTAATTTAAAACTGTCTTTACTACCCTATACAAACAGTACCTGTCCCAAATTCTAGCATGCACATGGAACAAGAAAACTGATCTTTTGGTGTGTGAATGTAAAATTAAACCGCTGATGCTTTAGCCCATGTATCAATTACCAACAGATTTTCTTCATCATTGTCTGGAGACCACATTCATGATTTCTATAAGACAGAAATAAAGCAGATAAACTATACTGTATGTTGAGCACAGACTTGTGGGAACACAATGTGGAAATTGAAAGCTACAGATAAAACACTCTGTCTATAAAGACTAGAGTAAGAAAAATTTGATGATAATAAGACATCACTAAAGTACCAGCAACAACATATCTTCAGTGTTCTCATGAAAGTACTAATACAGTGTGATTGAAATTTCATTACCTCCCAACTTCATGGGTGTGACTTTCTGTCATTTGTTAGATTTGCTTTGTTTTTGGCAAATCAGACTTCTTGACAGTATAGGTAAACTTAAAAATGGCTATGTAAGGTCTTTCTGGCAGTAAGCATTCTGAAGATCTTATCATGATAAAGCTAGAGTAACTTACCTCCAACTTTGCCCCACTCGGTATAGCTGCTGCACGGCTTTTTTCTTTGGCTATACCAACAGTTCTGAGGCTGGCTGGCAAGTCAATGTTCGTTGTTCCCAAAGCTTTTGCTGCATTGGCTTTTGCAATTTCTAACAGCTCCATTCGATCTAGAAAAAGACAGACATTGTCTATAACACAGGCCAACAAAATCCCTACCTCATCTTGCTGAGAAAATGCAGCACTCCTACATAATCTCAACAACCAGTTTCCATTTCCCTAAGTTTTATTACTTCATTTATTTCTCGACCTGAGGAATGTCCTTTGCCAACTTTATATGGCCTAATTGTCTTCACTATTAAACCGATACTGACATGTTACTAACACGCCTGTTTAAAGTTTATAAAGTACTGAGAAAACTCAAGTTTGCCGAGTAGCAATTAGCTTTAGAAAAGGCCTGTTTTGGGGCTGGGAAGGTGGCTCAGTGGTAGAGCGCTTGCCTTGCATGCATGAGGCCCTGGGTTCGATTCCTCAGCACCACATAAGCAAAAAGAAAAAAGCCAGAAGTGGTGCTGTGGCTCAAGTGGTAGAGCGCTAGCCTTGAGCTGAAGAGCTGAGGGACAGCGCCCAGGCCCAGAGTTCAGGCCCCACGACCGGACCCAAAAAAAAAAAAAAGAAAAGGCCTGTTTTGACAAATGTTACTGCCCTTCCATCGTTAGGATTAGGGTCCAGAGGGTGACTTTAATACTAGGAGTCCACTTAACACGCTGACTTTCCAGATGACCCAGGCGGGGCCGTCCCGCTCCCCGTCCCCGTCCCGACTCCCTCCCGGGAAAACCACCACCCAACTGCAGGCAGGAAGTAAACAAGGCAAGTCCTGAACCAGCCCCGCGGCCCAGCACAAAGCGGAAGTGGCGCGACGCCCCACCTTTCTCGGTGAGCCGGAAGGGGGTCCTGCTCCGCGAGCGGCTGCGGGTCCGCTCCCGCCATCGGGGGCGCTCTTCCGGGTAGCGGGTGCGGCCGAAGCCGTAGTAGCGCCGTCCCGGCGCCAGCACGTCGTCGGCCCTCGAGCGGCCGTAGCGCGAGCGCGAGCGGCTGCGGGAGCGGCGGTACCGGCGCGGGCGCTCGTGGTACCGCTCCCGGTAGCGGCGGCCGCGGGAGTACGAGCGCGAGCGGCTGCGCGAGTACGAGCGCGAGTAGCGCCGGTACTTCCGCTGCTGGCGCCGGCGCGAGCGCGAGCGGCTGCGGCGCCGCGGCCGGGGCCGGCTGCGACTCCGGGACGACGAGCGGCTCGAGCCGCGGGAGTCGGGCCCGGAGCTCCGGGACGTGGAGCGGCTCCGGGACCGCGAGGACAGGCGGCTGGAGCGGCCGGACCGCGAGGTCGAGGGCGACGGCTTCTCCTGGGGGGAGCCGGGCCACATGTCGTTCACGTAGTTGGGCATGGCGGCCGCGGCCTTCCGGCTGCTGAGGCGCCTTCCGCCGACCAGCAGGCGTCTGGAAAGGAACCCGAGGCGGGAAGAGCCGGTCGGAGGCCGGGGGGCGGCGCCCGCGAGCGCGCGACGGCCTCGCCCTCAGCCCGGGCCGCGTCCCGGGCCCCGCGCGGGCTGACCCCCGGCGCCGGAGAACTCACCCAGGCCGCGGACGCCTCCCTCGAGACGGAGAGAAAGGCGCAGCGGGCGCCTTCCCCTCGGAGCTCGGGACGAGGAGGGGCTGCTCCGGAGCGCTCCGCAGGAGTGAGCGAACAACCACCACCTTCGACGTCCGGACGCGAACTGAGCCCCGCGTCTGCTGACGCGTCGAAAGTACTAGAAACCCGGAGCCTGCGCAGTGCCGTTCGCGCGGTGGGCGTGGCTTTCTGGCCTAACCGCCGCCCGGCTTGAGGCTCCCTGGGTTGCGCCTGCGCAGACGGGCCAGCGGCTCTCGGGCTACATCCGGGTATCCTGCGACGGCTTTGTTTTGTATTTTAAGAGAAATGCCGCGGTCTGGGGTTACCGGAACGGGTGGCGCTGTGCGGAGGGACCCCGGACTCTGTCAGGGGGAGCGGCCGCGGGCTGGACGGGGCTCAGAGCCCCGCGGGCCAGTGGAGCCTCCCTGGCCGTCTGCTCTCTGGGGCTCGCCTGGGCCCCGGGCCACACCCCGCCTGCGCAGGGCTGATAGACGGAGGTGACCGCCGCCACCCTCCGGAAATAGAGTCCAAATTTTAAAGAAGGGCTTCTGGGTTCTTATTGTTGTTTGACTTCCATGATTTGGCTTAGAGGCCAGCGAGAGAGTCACAGATGCCCATTCTCAAGGGCCGTATGCCCGGCCCAGGAGGCTAAAGGGTGATGGCCAGAATACCAGGCAGACATCCAAGCACAAAGAACAAAGAAAACCTTATTCAAAGGGCTCAGCAAGACCCCCTCTCACAAAAGAGAAGAAATGCTGGCTGTAGTCTGAGGTGACCTATATAACCCACGAGGTCAGTAGGCAGAGACCCTGGTGTGGACGTGTGGACCCGGGGCTTCAGCAGAGCGGGCTAGGAGTTACCGCTGCTGCCCAAATGGCAGATAAGGGGTCTTAGAGCTACCCAGACCTGAAGGTCACGCTAAGGGGATCTTGCTAATACGGTTGTAGCTGCCCTGGCCGAGTGCCATCTCGAAGTGAAGGGGGTGGAAGCTGGTTATTTACTGCTCTTACTAACTACTGTTGTAAAAAGACTATTCTAAGCTATGAGAGAAGAGGCTACTGGGCCAATCTTCCCCACCCTTTGGTTTAATAATTTAAGGGGGCACCTTGTCGGGACCATGGGTGAAGGTCATTTCTTCTGGAGCTGCTTCCTGCTAAGAAGGGATGGAAGTAGTCAGGGGGGTACACTTGACCAGGTACCCTCCTAGGAGCATTTGATTGATGGACTGATTGCTGAAAAGGCTCAGCTTTCCCAAAAGGATGTTCTACATGCACCTGAATAGACAAGTTTCAGTTAGTATGAGGCAAAAAAAAATGGCTGTTAGCAGACCCAAGGTAGGCTTTAGCCTACCCCAAATGGGTCCTGTACCCCTTTATTTTGTTGGGTAATTTTTGCCAGGTCTCTGAGATGTTTGACTTGTTCCTTGATGGCATAGCTGCTATCAGTTAAAGCAGCACGTGTTTTTTTTTTAACCTCATCGCACCCTTGGTGGTGGCATAAGAGTAGGTAATTGATAGCTGCAAGATTGTCAAGGATAAGTTGCCTATGTTCCTGTTGCTCTTGATTTAACAGTGCAGTGGCAGAGGAAGTGTAGTTAATGCTTTTTGCCACTACGCATGCCAAATGCGTGACACCTTTATAGGCTCCTACTGCCAGTCCTGGTATCCCAACCAAGAAGAAAGTGAGGGCAATGTATTCTGCTTTAGACAGTTTATCAATACAAGTCTCATCCAACACTAGACTTCTTGTTTTACGGACTTGTTGAGACTGGAAAGCTCTTTATGGAGTACAGCAGCTAGATGGCTTAGGCAGCATCGGGAGTTATGAGGCAGATTGGCAGGGATATAGTTAAAAGTATAACTCTCACAGGTAAAAAAACAGCCACTAGGTAAGGAAACATGGCCCTCCGTATCTAAAATGCATTCATAGTTGGTACAAGTTGCCTCATCTTAGTTCTATACAGTCGTGGGTGCAATTTTGAATCTGGGCATAGTGTTATTTTCCAGCATTATAATCCAAGGGGAGTATAACATTAGAGCATCCATGCGTTTTTTGTTTTTTGTTTTTTTTTAATGTGAGGGCTTTTCCCAAATATAGGAGTCAGCATAGGTAGTAGGTTTATTACCGTGACTAGATGAGAAGATAGTAGGTTTTGCATATTGCCACAGGTTTGCACACTGGAAGCAAGCAGGACCCGAGTACATGTCCCAACTCCAGTTCCTGCCTAAGACAAAAGGTAGAGGTATTAGTCATTTGGACCAGGCAAAACCACATGTTGTAATGTATGTGGTCCTGCAAGGACCAAAGGAGGAGGATCCTCCATATTGTGTAGCACAGCTGTTTAGGGAAAACAAGCAGAAAATTACAGCCTGGGATAGCAAGGATTTAACAGCCACAAGGAAGTTGCCTTGTAAGAAACACAAGAAGAGGTAGAAGGAGATGTAAAGAAATGGGTCAGAGCTGGGCGCCGGTGGCTCATGCCTGTAATCCTAGCTACTCATGAGGCTGAGATCTGAGGATAGCGGTTCAAAGCCAGCCCAGGCAGGAAAGTTCGTGAGACTCTTATCTCCAATAAACCACCAGAAAACCGGAAGTAGCGCTGTGGCTCAAGTGGTAGAGTGCTAGCCTTGAGCTGAAGAGCACAAGGACAGCGCCCAAGCCCAGAGTTCAAGCCCCACGACCGACAAAAAAAAAAAAAAGAGGGCTGGGAAGGTGGCTCAGTGGTAGAGCACTTGCCTTGCATGCCTGAGGCCCTGGGTTCGATTCCTCAGATGTTACTTGTTTGGGGGTGGATCCGCTGGCTGGCATTGTTGTCTCTGTCCTTGATATCCTGGGTGCCTTGTGTTTCTATGCTGTGAGGGTGACTGGATCTAAGTTAGTTTGTCCGTAGAGACAGAAATCCAGTCTGGTATTCTCAGAGGAGTGAGGAGGTCAGCAGCACTTGACATGCCAAGATGAATCCAGCCTTAGACCTGTATAGCTGTAGGAATAGAGAAAGTGAAGGTCCTTCCTGCTTGGCAGAAAACTGAATGGATTCTGTGTCTGTTTAGGAACATTTGTCAAGTCTCCTGCATTTATGGAGGGCTCAGAAAGTGGAGAAGGAGGGTCTGGGAGCTGCAAGCCATGTAGGTGTTAAAGGAGGGAAGGCAGATTCAGAGAAGGTGAGAGTCCAAAGCCTGTTTTGAAATGAGAGAGGTAAAGATGGAGTGAAAGTACAGTCAAAAGAAAGCATGTGGGGCTGGGAGGTAGCTCTGTGGTAGAGCGCTTGCCTTGCACGAATGAGGCCCTGGGTTCAATTCCTCAGCACCACATAAGCAGAAATGCTGGAAATAGTGCTGAGGAAGAAATAAATAGTGGTGCTGAGGAATCGAAAAAAGCCGGAAGTGGCGCTGTGGCTCAAGTGGTAGAGCACTAGCCTTGAGCTGAAGAGCTGAGGGACAGCGCCCAGGCCCAGAGTTCAGGCCCCATGACTGACCAAAAAAAAAAAAAAAAAAGCCAGGCACTGGGGACTCACACCTGTAATCCTAGTTACTCAAGAGGCTGAGATCTAGGATCACGGTTCAAAGACAGCCCCCTGCAGGAAAGTCCCTGAGACTCTTCAATAAACCACCAGAAAACAGGAAATGGTGCTGTGCCTCAAGTGGTAGAACACTAGCTTTGAGCTGAAGAGCTGAGGCACAGTGAGCACCCAGGCCCTAAGTTCAAGTCCCATGACTGACAAAAAATAAAAGAGTGAGAGATAAAAGTGAGCCAGAAAGGCATCTCTCAGTTCATGGTCTGTAAGATCAGCCAACAGCATGAGGAGGACATTGTCAGGAAAGAGGGAAGTTACTCATTGGTTGGTAAAAAGTCATGACTGTATTCTACTAGTCTGTCCTCTGGAATAGGAGCCAGAGCAGGTGTGTTGCAGTCCTTAGGAGACAGGTCTATTGTCAGGCAAACTGTAAGAGGTCCTGTAGGAATTGCCTTATAAGAAGTTGGTTTGTAGGCCAAATTTGGCTAATGTGAATCCAGGCTGCTATTTCTTTTCATTTAACTACTGTGGGGGTGGTCAGAATTACCTCAACCTTCTAAGGGCCTGTCAATTCAGGCTGTAGTCCCCTGAAGAGGCAGGGAATGTAGGGTGAGATGAAGCTAGATATACTACGTTCCCGACTTCAAAAGGGCCCTTGCTAGTCATTTCTGGAGAGGAGGCTGTACAATCTACATATTTCCAGAGAGCTGCTCCAAGATGGCTGAGGAGAAGGGGAAGGAGGTGGAAGGGGATTATGGGAGGTTGGGTAAGAATCCCAGGGGGAACCATAGGACGCCCATACATTTTTCAAAAGGGGATAAGTTAAAGTTTTTTTTTGTTTTTGTTTGTTTTTTGAAGAACGCAAAGGTGTGAGGGGCAAGGGGGAATTATTTTACCCAAGTCCCAGTGAAACTCTAGAGTTAATTTGGTTGGTATATTTTTTAAGGAGCAGGTAGTTCTCTCTACCTTGCCTGAAGATTGGGGATGGTAAGGGATAGGAAAATGTCAGGTGATGTTGAGAGCTTTAGAAATTAACTGGGTAACCAGGGAGGTAAATTCAGTACAATTATCAAACTGTATAGTGGTAGGAATTCCAAAATGGGGAATAATTTCTCAAATGCAGATGTGCCCTTGTTTGATGTGTTGGAAAGGCAGGGGGGTGTTGGGAGGCAGGACTAGATTTTTTCTTTGTTTTTTTCTTTTTTACTCCCCCGCCCTTTTTTTCTTCTCTTCCTTCCTTTTTTCCTCCCTCCCTTCCTTTCTCTCCTCCCCTTCTTTCCTTCTTTCCTTCCTTCCTTTCCTTTCCTTTTTTTTTCTTTCTTTCTTTTTCTTCCTTTCTTTCTTTCTTTCTTTCTTTCTTTCTTTCTTTCTTTCTTTCTTTCTTTCTTTCTTTCTTTCTTTCTTTCGTCAATCATAGGGCTTGAACTCTGGGCCTGGGCACTGTCCCTCAGCTCTTTAGCTCAAGGCAAGCGCTCTACCACTTGAGCCACAGTGCCACTTCTGGCCTTTTCTGTTTATGTTGTGCTTATGAATAAAACCCAGGGCCTCGTGCTTGCAAGGCAAGCACTATACCACTGAGCCACTTCCCAGCCACCAGGACTGGATTT